GACAGCTAATCCAAGATTTTTATTTTGAAAAAGTATTTTGACTTCCTTCAGCCAACTTGTTTATAGTTCCTGCAATGAAATTTTAATTTTGTGCTCTAATGAACACAAATCGATCTGTGCTCTGTGTTGGCAAAACTTATGGTGGCTGTATAATTGAGAGAGCCGCATAAAAAAGAAAAAAAAAATCACAAAATTGTAGCCAAGTGCCAAGACATTAAATGTAAGAGGGGAGGCCAACAGGAAAATGGCACCACCTGCCACAGTTGCTAAAGAGCAGCCTTTGGAAGCCCCTAAGAACAAGCTTGCTAACACTCTTTTCCGAGCTGGGGAGAATTACGTGGATTGCTACGACCTGAGAAGGACTTTATATTTTCCTTGTTAAAAAGAAAGCGGAATATTATTGAGGCTGGTTCAATCTGCCAAGGAAGAAAAATATTCACCTCCTTATTCTTTCACTGGGAGATTAATCCAATTAGCAGAAGAATGGGTTCCTCTTGCAAAATTCAAAGGAAGAAAATGTCCTGTTCTTGAGGACGTGAGTGGGTCACCTGCAGGATTCCCCTGATCTTGGTTCTTAGCCAGGAACACGTTATGAAGTCACCCCTGCTTTTATTGCTATTGTTTCAGATGGGGCTCATGCAATCCGGCCACTTATCGCCCGGTGAGATTTCCTCCAGGATAAAATTGGAGAATTTGTGGGAAGTTGCTGAGATGTCAGGCACAAGCGTCCAATAGCATTCATTGAGCTCAAAGCACAGAAGAGTTTATTTTTGTTACCTAGATACCAGAATCTAGTCTTCTAAAGGTCCATGCTAAATTAGAGCTAGAAAAGGCTCAACGGAATTCAAGGCAAGCTGGATGGGGTCTCTTGTGGCAACACAAGGATTCTAGACTGATGACACATTTAACCCTGCCTTCCAGCTCAGCTTGTTCTTCTCTCACATGAGATTCCAAGTTGCTAGAGATGTTTTCCTGGATTTTACTGCCACTACTTTGACCGGCCAATACTTTTATTAATGTAAGGTCCCTGAGTGCTCTTTCAATGCCATACCCAGCTGTTCTATGTGAATCAAACTCTGATTCTCTTCTATTGTACTTGAAGAGTGATGGTTGCATAATTTACAGGAATGCTATAATGGCTATCTCTCTGTTACCTGAAGCACCTGCCTCAACAGGAGAGTTAGACCTGCAGCTGAGAATTTCCCTAGGAAGAAGAATTAGTGTTGCAAAGATCACTAGCTACCTCCTTCCCTTCCCTTCCCTTCTCTTCCCTTCCCTTCCCTCTCTTCTCCTTACCTATCATATCCTCACTCACCAGACTGTGTACACACAGAGACGTATACCTCTATTGTCAGGTTACTAAAGGCAATTGCACTTTTTAATTTTTTTCCCATCTGACAAATTGGGGGGAGGCTATAAAAACAATTTGAAAGCAAATATTCCAAATATGCTCTTCTACCCAGCCAGAATGGTAGCTAATGAATTTGTTGCATGAATGCACAGACAGATTGGGAACTGAAGACGGGCTGGCCAGCCTAATGTGGCTCTGGCACCAATCAGCCTATCTGTACCCATACAGGGTTTCCTCCAGAGTATATTCTCATCCAGAGGTGATTTTCCAATAAAATCAGCCTCAATTATTGCTAGAATAGGAGCAATCCTGGCGGGAGGATAAGAGGCAATTCAGCCGCTGGAAATGCTGCATGAAGGAAAATTAACCTTGCAGTGCTATTATCTGCTGAAACATTTAGCGACTTCTTCTCTTTCTTTCACATTAATTGACCCCAGGAGTGGAAGGAAGCAACGAAAGAGGAGGCAAATGATAGAACATTTACATAAATGCCACGTGCATGTATATGTATTACATCTCATCTCTCTCTCTAGCTAGCTAGATAGCTATCTCTATCTATCTATCTATCTATCTATCTATCTATCTATCTATCTATCTATCTATCTATCTATCTATCTATCTATCTATCTATCTATCTATCTATCCATCCATCCATCCATCCATCCAACCATCTATCTATCTATCTATCTATCTATCTATCTATCTATCTATCTATCTATCTATCTATCTATCTATCTATCTATCTATCTATCTATCTAATCTATCATTTATCTATATCTAGTACAATCAGAGATGAGAAGAATCATAGTAGTTGGTTTATGGACCTAATACTGAGATATTTAAAGGAGAAAGGAGAAGGAGGAGAAGGAGGAGAAAAAGAAGGAGAAGGAGAAGGAGAAGAAGGAGGAGGAGGAGGAGGAAAGGAAAGAGAAGAAGAAGAAGAAGAAGAAGAGGAGGAGGAGGAGGAGGAGGAGAAGGAGGAGGAGGAGGAGGAAGAGGAGGAGGAGGAGGAGGAAGAGGAGGAGGAGGAAGTCATCTAAAAGTTTGCATAAATATTTCCTCACACTGAGGATTGTCTCATCACAAGGTACGAAACGCCAGCTATCAGAAAATAGTCTTCCACTTCTAGCATGCTGCTGGGAAGCTTATGGTATGACAATGTTCTGCCAACAATCACTGAAATACACAGTAAAATCCTGAAAACATTAACTCCTAGTGTTGGGGAGGAGCAATTCAAGCAACTGAGGCCAACCTTCTGTTCAACACAGGCACGCCAATTAAAGCATCCTTGACAGATGGTGGTCTAGCTTCTGTGTGAACTCATTCAGGGTTGAGAATCCCACCTCTTTCCTAGGCCTCTAATTCTTTTGCTGAACTGCCCTTAAGAGTTAGGAAATGTCTCCAACTGAACTGTAATTCAGAAAACAAACACAGTGACCAGCCAGCCAATCGCCAAAGCAACTGAGACGTTAGACATAAAAGGCCCTGAATGTTCTCTGAGCTTGGTTTTTTTTTCTTGCAGACGTTTCATGACCCAAACTAGGCAACATCATCAGTGCTTTTTAATCTACTCTTGCTAAACGCATTCAAAAGCAAGGTTTGCAAGACTGTGTGTGGGGGAGAAAGGTATTCTCTACTTCCCCGAAAAACGCTGAATGGGATGCAAAACACCAGCAGCATCCCAATTTCAGATGGAGGTGTGCAGATGGGTTGGAAAGTTAACCACCTCATGTTTTGACATAAATTCAATTCGCAACAGCTTCCTTCATGTCTTCGCTGAAGAGCCTCTTCCATGTTGAAAAACCACAAGCTTCTGGTGACAAACAACGTGCAAAACGTAACGTCAGCAGAAAGCCACCGAGTCAGCAAATGCGTAAGAGCAAGGAATTGTTGTCCTCCCCTTTTTAGTATTAACAACAGAGAACCTTTCTTTCATCTCTCCTCCCCATCCCCATCTTGTAGCAGATGTCAACCGCAGTTAAGTTCAGCTCCAGTTGTGACTGTGCGGCTTTTAGCCAACAGCCATTCGCAATGGCAAGAAGCATCGCAGCCCATATGTCTTCATAAGAGAGCTCCGTTTTTAAAATGTATGTGATCAGTCACATATGTTAAGAGGAATATGAACATCCGTCACTCGCAGTGACACTGGAAGTGACTAAATGCTGCCAAGTGGAAGCTCAGGCACATTAATATTCAAGGGGAATCTCTGATCGTGTTGGGGAATAATAGAAATGTCAGTCTTTTCAAAAACAAAGGGAAAAACAAACAAACAAAAAAACTATCACCAAACCCAGCCCAGCAAAGCTTCCTTCTGCTGGTTGTTGCTCATAAAAAAAAAGTTTTGGGAAAAGCACAACAGTTTCAGGTAGGAATAGAGAAATCTTTGAGTTGCTAAGATTCAATTCACAGAATGCACCGGGGGGGGGGGGGGAATCAGGAAGTCAAGATTTCAGATGGAGCTTTTCCAACTTAAATTACTATTATCCTTGTCATCTTTTCTACTACCTTCACTTATTGGTATCTTATGATTATATTACTTTGTTGTTTGTATGTACAATGAGAGCTTATGTAGTAGAGACAAATTCCTTGTATGTCCAAACACAGTTGGCCAATAAAGTATTCTATTCTATTCTATTCTATTCTATTCTATTCTATTCTATTCTATTCTATTCTATTCTATTCTATTCTATTCTTATTCCATTCCATTCCATTCTATTCTTATTCCATTCCATATTCTATTCTATTCTATTCTATTCTATTCTATTCTATTCTATTCTATTCTATTCTATTCTATTCTATTCTATTCTATTCTATTCTATTCTATTCCTACTCTACTCTATACTGAAGGTAGGACAATCTCCATGGAAGTCTGGGCCTTACTTCCAAGAATATCGTTTGAGACACAAATGACAAGGGTCAAATTGTCACACCAAACTCTCTGGAGAAGTTTATAATGTTGGGAAAACAGAAGAGAAGAGGATGACCAACATCAAAATGGATTGACTCAATTACAGTAGCGATAGGAAGAACTCATTGGGGACAAATTGTCCTGGAGAAAATCTACTTGTGCAACCACTAAGAGCCAACACCAATTTGATGGCATGTAATCAATCAATCAATCACCGCTCCAAATTTTAGAAATAGAGCACAGCAAGGAATGCCTTTAAACTTGTGCATAGCAGTTTCCTAGCTCTTCTTCTAGGACTCCCTACAGCCTAATTATTCCTGGTTCAGTTGCACAATCAACCAGATGTTTAAACTGGATTTGGCACTTCTGTCTACTTATCGAGTCCTTTCCAAGGGCCTGGGATAGGCAGATGTGCATGTTTATTACTATTATTCAGCAGCTGATCACAGGTATCCCATCTAATATCATTGACATTGGTGGGTGCCACATATTAATTTATGCAAACCAGGCAAGATTGGGGCATGCCATCCATGAGAGAGTCATAAACTAGGGTTATTCTTGTTGACAAGTGTTTTTACCAGCCATCGCCACTCTTTTTATTGCAACAACCACAGAATAGCCTAAGATGCCCATCAAGTGCCTGGCTGTGGGATTTTGATTGGCTCCCTTTTCCTGAAATTTGATAAACTTGATTTCCACCCTGCTTCTCCTTTTTCAATAAGTTTTAAAAAAATCACTTACTTTGCAGGAATGTTTCGAGGCTTTGTCTTCTCTGCGGTCTATGAATTAAAAAGAAGAAGAAGAAGGAGAAGAAGGAGAAGAAAGAAGGAAAAGTGAGAGAACAGTTAGCAAACCTTAGCAAGAGTAACCTTTTGGAAAGTGGTGGGTGGTAAAGAAGACCATCTATTTCAGAGAACAGGAAATCATCCTGGTGATGGATCTAGCAGCCATAAATTAAGCTGAATTCAAGCCTTAATAGAAGACACAGTTTATCTATTTCATTAAGCTGTATCTGTCTGTCTGTCTGTCTGTCTGTCTATCTGTCTGTCTGTCTCAGAGCCATCTCTGTGGGTGCGCGCGCCATTGCCCCAGTCCTAGGCCTTCAGCTGCGTTTTATAAAATCTTTTCGCTTTAGGCCTCCGCCACCGTGTAAAAAAGAAAAGGTTCAATCAATCAGTTAATTTCAACTTCTCGCGGGGAAAAAAAAGATCTTGCAAAGTTGGAATTGATTGATTGAACTTTTTAGTCCCACCTAGTCTGCCGTTACCACCGCAGCCACGCCCACCCAATGGGCCATGCCCACCCGGCACTCAACGATGCATAAGTGGTTTTTGGGTTGCAGTTTGGGCACTCGGTCTCTAAAAGGTTTGTCATCACTGCTTTAGTTAATCTTCCTTCCTTCTCTCTCTCATCTCTCTATTTATCCATACACACACATACATACAGATACATATACATGTATATACATTTCGTATATATATGCCTATACGATATATGTGTATATAGTATATAGTATATATATGTATGTATGTAGATAGATAGGTAAGTACGTAGGTAGGAAGAAAGAAAGGAAGGAATGTGTATATATTTATGTATGTTTGTGTGTGTGTATAGATAGAGATATGATTGTGTGTGTATATATGTGTATATATATAAATGATTTATATGAATAAATCTGAATCCAAGGAGAATTGGATGCAAAAGCATTTCTTTGATTGTTCTGTTAGCTCCACAAAGGGCAACATGCTGATCCAAACCAATTCACTTGGTTTGCAATTTCCACAGCAATGAAATTAATATTAACTTCACTCTTGTTGGCCTTAAACAAGATCAGGAAAACTATAAATATCAGCAGAGCAGGCCAGCTTTCCCCAACCCCCCCCCCCAGGCTGTTTTTATTAGCCGGCAGATTAAAAAAAGGGCACAGGATGGTCAAATATTCAGATCAGTTTCTTCCTGTTAAGCCCTTCTGAGAAAAACACACTCCGAATTTTCTAAATGACGAACAATCCAGGGCTTTCCCCGCTGCTTTAGTTATTGAACCTGATTTCAAGTTTATTTTTTTTAATTTATTTAAACTAAAACATCATCATCATCATCATCATCATCATCATCATCATTATTATTGCTGGGATCCATTGATCTGTATACAGTCCATTTATCATTCATGAAAAGACTTGGTGATCTTCACAGTATATTAGAAGAAACAACTCAGATCATCTATCAACGGCCTTCTTATTTCTGTTTCTCTGTACAGGGATTTTCATCTCCTTCCATTCTTCTTGAATTAAAATGTTGCTAAGCAACACCGCTGGGGGCATGGATGGCGCAAAGGCGAGACTCTATCAAACTGTTTAAGCGGTTGGAGATTTCCATGTTGATGCCTTTCATGCATATATATATATATATATATACAGAGAGAGAGGGGGGGGAGCTCGTTAATGGCATCTTCTGCAAAACGTTCGGAATCCAAATTTTCCACCTGGGCGACGTGCTTCTCATCAGTGTTTCTGAGTGTTTTCTATTCGTCTCTGGCTTTGTTAACAGAGAGCACCCAGGCTGTCCACAAAGATTGCAGGAAGGGCTGAGAGGGAAACAAGAGTCTGCCTCTGCAGAAAACTAGGGAGGGGGGGGGGAGAGGGAAGGGGGGGAGGGAAAGGCAGACCTTCCTTAGCACTGCTAACACTGTGCCACCAGATGGAGGCCCTTAGCCTTGCGTCCCCAAAGGATCTCATTTGAAGCTTCTTTCATAGAGATAAAGAGATAGAGACAGCTAGATGACTGATAGCTAGCTAGATAGTTAGTTAGATAGCTAGACAGACAGAAGATCTATCTAACTTATCTATCTATCTATCTATCTATCTATCTATCTATCTATCTATCTATCGACACTGTAGATAGAAAGATAGATAGCTAGATAGCTAGACAGACGGACAGACAGACAGATAGATATTGTAGCTAGTCATTGGAATGTAGGGACTGCCTTAGTGCCTCTATTTCAGCCTTCTTTTGGTTAATCTGTGTCCCTTACTGAACTTGGCATCTTCCAAATATCCTAAACTGAAACCTTTATGTTCCACAGCTCCGCTTGCTGAATAGGAACAAACAATTCTATATGGGGATAATCTACTGATTTTTACAATGTCTAATTTTAGCATGAACATTGTCCATGGGTCGTGATGGGTCGGACACGACTTCGCAATTAACAACAACAAATTTTAGCAAAGGATGATCTTATTTACAGACTTTTCAAGTTGGAGATATTTAGGACCACTAGCCACTCTCCTTGTTCCAGAGTAACTAAAATCCCTGCTTATGGTCACCCATAACCCCCAAATCATACATCTTTGTCATTGTCACTAATGTTCAGATATAGAGGCAATATTGCTTCAATGAATGAGCTCTTGGTTCCAATCCTGGTTGACCCCTTTCCCATCAAAGCTCTCGAAGCCTGGATGATGATTAACTGCTTCACCCATCCCAAGTCTTCTTCTGGTCCTCCACTCTCAGCTTCTAAGCCTGACCTCTGCGGATTCTTTCTTTGGCTGATATTTTGTGCCATTTCTGTCGGCTTCTCAAGGTGACGCATAGCTTATCCCGACTCCTGGTTCTAATGTGAAACCTTTTCAGAGAAGGAGTAGATAAGCTCATCTGAAGAGGACAAGGGAACAACCCAAGTGGGAATGTATTTCTGAAGACCCTGGCATTTGGCAGCTGTGTTTGTGCGTCCGTTATACTGCTGGCCAGAAAAAAGAGCCACCAGTTAAAATAATCTTCTGTTATCAGCAAACTCTGGCGCTCTAGAGTTGACTCTCACTAGTTGCCCTTAGATTCTCCTTTATGATCAAGGTCTACTTTATTGAACTTCTCTGGGGAATTCAGAGCAGTCCTGCCTCTCTTTCTTTCAATCAATAGAGAATTCTCCAGTGAGTAAAGGGGAGAAAAAGTGACATTGCTGAGTGAGAAATGAAGAGAGAGAGCGAGAGAGAGAGAGAGAGAGAGAGAGAGAGAGAGAGAGAGAGAGAGAGAGCTTTGCTGGGTGTTATTGACATAAAAAGCTTTGGTTATAACATTCATATGAAGGGATAGGGACTTTTTGTTTTGTTTCTGGTTTTATTTTTTTATTTTCTTTAAAGGCAACTGCATGTTTATCTCAGGGGCTGCCCCAAAGAAGAGGGAGTCAAGCTATTCTCCAAAGCACCTGAGGGCAGGACAAGAAGCAACGGTGGAAACTAATTAAGGAGAGACCTTGTGTTGGGTGTTCCAACACTGCAGGCTTTTAAGAAGAGATTGGACAACCATTTGTCTAAAATGGTATAGGGTTTCCTGCCTGAACAAGGGGCTGGACTAGAAGACCTCCAAGGTCCCTTCCAACTCTATTCTATTCTATTCTATTCTATTCTATTCTATTCTATTCTATTCTATTCTATTCTATTCTATTCTATTCTATTCTATTCTATTCTACTCTGTTCTGTTCTGTTCTGTTCTATTCTATTTCTGTTCTGCTAGGCTGTAAGAAATCACTGGGAAATGACATGCAAATGGCCCTGAGCATTCTTCTTCCTCTGATAAAGTCAATTCCTTGTCTCTATCATCTCAGTATCAAACCACAGAGAACATTTTGCTTCGTATCTTTACTTTCTTCCTTGTAAGCAACTCCAGGTATCTTCCTCCAGAGCACATTTTACAGCAAAGGTTGCCGTCTAATTCACTGGCTGGATTCAAACTACAAAGATGAGGGGGTCAAACTATTTTCCAAAGCACCAAAAAGCAAGATGAGAAATAACGGTTGGAAACTAACCAAGGAGAGAAGCAATCTAGAACTAAGGAGAAAATTCCTAAGAGTGAGGACAACTAACCAATGGAACAGCTTCCCTTCAGAAGTTGTGGGTGCTTCCTCACTGGAGGCTTTCAAGAAGAGACTAGACAACAACTTGAAATGGTGTAGGGTCTCCAGCTCGAGCAGGGGGTTGGACTAGAAGATCTCTCAGGTCCTTTCCAACTCTATTATTCTATGTTCTATCATGGTGATCCCTGATTTGCTTAATGGATTGCATTCAAATGCCCTACATTCCAAAACCATGGCTTATATACCGCCAAGGTAAAAATTCATACAACTTCTCAGGGTAAAACTTAATAAATCCTTTTCTGATATAGTGTAACGAAAGAATCCATCTTGACGAGCTTGCTGCTAGCTTCCAGTTTGAATCTGATCAAACCATTTATTTAAAGAGGGCCATTTTAATTATGAAGATCTCCATGGCTTATTTAGGACGTGTTTTTAAGTCTTTTAAGTCTTTAAGGGTTCCTGCCTGAGCAGGGGGTTGGACTCGATGACCTTCAAGGTCCCTTCCAACTTTATTATGGATCATCGCACAGTCAGCCAGATGTTCAGACTGGATTTGGCATTTTTTCTACCTATCGAGTCCTTACCCAGGACCTGCGATAGGCAGATGTGGATGTTTGATGGTATTACAGGTATCGTTGCAGGATGGAAGCAGTTCCTAGTAAGGCCGCCTTTTGCAATTGACTAATAGCGAATTTGTCAATGCCAATGGTGTTCAAGTGGTGCTCCAGTTGTTTTGGGATTGCACCCAAGGAGCCTATTACTATTGGTACTACCCTTGCTTGCTTTTGCCACAGTCTTTCTATTTCTATTTGTAGGTCTTTGTATTTTGTTATCTTCTCCAGTTCTTTCTCGTCTGTTCTGCTGTCTCCAGGCACTGCCGTGTCCACTATCCAGACTTTTTTGTCTTTCTTATCGACAATTGTTAAGTCTGGGGTGTTATGTTGCAGGTGCTTGTCTGTTTGAATTCTGAAGTCCCAGAGCAGTTTAATTTTATCATTTTCTATGACTTTCTCTATTTTATGATCCCACCAGTTTTTGCTTACAGGCAAATGATATTTTTTTGCAGATCTTCCAATGCACCATTGTTGCTACTTTGTCATGCTGCTGCTTGTAGTCAGTCTGTGCAATCTTCTTGCAACAGCTTACCAAGTGGTCCACTGTTTCTTCAGCTTCTTTGCATAGGCGGCACTTACTGTCTGTTGCTGTCTTCTCAATTTTGACTTTATTTGCATTTGTCCTTAAGGCTTGGTATTATTATTATTATTATTATTATTATTATTATTATTATTATTATTATTATTATTATTATTATTATTATTATTATTATTATTATTATTATCTATAGCTGTGGTTTACGTGGGGAATCTAAACCTCTGGGTCTTAAATTCAGCTAATTCGGGTTTTTAGGAAAACCACAAGATTTGGGACCTTTTGCCTCTCCCCCAAATTTCCAGGCTGAACTTTGCCATGCTCAGAAAGAATTTCTGAGATCCAATCAACACATTTTTTCAGACGATTCAGCCCCTTGCTAGCAAAGCCTCATTACGGAAGGAAAAAAGGTCTTCCCCTTTTAAAAGGAATTTATCCTATTTACAGCAACGACCTCATTATCCTTAAGACTTCAATGAAGCTCAATTGCAAGTAAACAGCTCTGCATTCAAATCCTCTATCAAAGTTATTGATAGTTGGTTTCACCCTCATCCATCTGATTTGCCCCGGCTATTGCCTTAAGGAGCTGACCTTGTTCTCCTTGTGTGTTCACTATTGATGTCACAACTGAGAAATGGCTTCTTAGCGCTTCTACTGATAACACAATGAATGGGTCCTGTGTGTGTGTGTGCGCGCACGCCTGTGTTGTCTGGAAGGTAAACAGCTTTTTTTTTGAGAGAGAGAGAGAGAGAGAGAGAGAGAGAGAGAGAGAGAGAGAGAGAGGAACTAAATAGGAGTGAAGAGGCAGTTAAACAGGAAAGGATGTTATTGAAAGGAGAAATTTAGACGGTTTTGTTTTTCAAAGAAGGATAGTCTTAATTGCCAAAGAGCTAACTTTTAAGCAGGATTAAACACACACACACACACACACACACACACATTGTTGGCTGCAGAGATTCCCTCCTCTAAGAATTTAAAGAGAAGCAGCACTTAACCTCCCATTTTCAAAGCCTCCCGGTGTTTTAAATAATTTTTGTTTTGTTTGTTTGTTTGTTTGCAATTGTCCAAAACAAACAGAGGAACGATAAATAACCATCCCAAGTAGATGGTAACATTCAGGTTTAATGTAATATGATCTGATAGCCACATGTGTAAAAGACGATCATGTAAGCAAAATGGAGGAGGGAGAGAGAAGAGGAGCAGTGACTTTTTTTATTTAAAAAAAATATTCACTCCCACCCTCCATTCTGCCAAATATGCAGAAAACAATGAAGCGAACCAAGTGAGGGGTATCAAAGTTTCTGTGGTCCAAGAGACATCACCATCCAGCAATGTGCTTTAAATTAAGCACAGACATATTTCAAAGGTTAAGAGGGCCGTTTCTTAAGCAGAAAGCAGAACAAAGAAGTGGGGAGAAGGAGGGAAAATATGGGAAGCCTTTATTGCTTAAAACACTAGATTTTGCTACACTTAACTGGGGGAAAAAACAACAACTTCTTAACCCAGCCAATAAAATGTGCAAGAAACGGTTGAGTTATTTCTGCAAAGAATGTTGCAAGGCAGTATTTTTTCCCCATGGGAGGATGGACCTCAGAAAGGTACTGGCTGCATTGATACAACATCAACGCAGCATCCACCAGATGTGCTAAAGTCCCCAAGTTGAATAGAAGGGACACATCGTGAACTTAACACACGTGAAAGTATCCATCCGATTGCTGCTGAAGTCTTCTTCACTTTCCAAGTATTTAATTTTCCATAAATCAGCTTTGCAAACTTATGGAGGGGGTGGCTGCAATGTAGGAGGGATGGTAGTACCCACAGAGGCGAGATTGAAATTGGCAAAGGAGTGGAGATGCTCATGTTACAAGCTCCCTTGATCTGCCATCTTGTCTGTTTTGACACCTCCCGAAGTGTAAAAAGTCTTTTCACAGAACGGGAGAACACACGCTGGAAATTTGAGAAGGTGAGTCAGGATTAAAAAGAGCAAACTGGTAATGCTAACAGGATTGTCTACTATTTTTCCACCTTTTTCTGGATTTGCGATGTGTGTGTGTGGGGGCATTTCTGGTTATGCCCTCTATTTAGCATGATATTCTGGGTTTTCCTATGCAAAATGGAAGGGTGCCATTATTTTTGACAGTTATGTTGCAAGGAGCTCCTGGAGCCGTACAAAAATAGTCTGGCTGGCTATCTCTGGCTCTGAGATCACATTTTGCACATAAGGGCCCATCCAAAATCCAGAACTGATTTCAGAATAGCTCCTTTTGATGAGTTGTAAGAGGAACAGAGCATTAATCAGTGGGAGAAGTTTGTCACCTAGAAGGTCAAGGACAACCAAGGGACTCTTGGATAACGAAGAGTCCAGAAGACCTACCATGAAGGAAAATGCAAAATTAAGTGTATTTATTTTGGCAGAAATGACAATCTTAATACGGGATTATTGTAGTAGATGCTGATGTCAGGAAAGCTACATTTGGAGCACTAAAAAGCAAAGCTTGGAAATCTGGGATTTCTTAAAAAGCTTACCTGATCATTATCGTCTTCATCACTGCTAAGTTTCAGGTCATCTTCAAGCATTCTTTTCAGGGGAAAGAGAAATGCAAAGTAGGCATTAGAACAGAGACTATAGACTAGACTGGAATAATAACTTTATTGTCACTTTAAATGTACACTAATCGGCATACATTAAAATAAGATTTTGTTGCATACAGTTCTCAAAGGATAACCACCTCCAATATACACCGCATAAACGTGACAAATAAATAAATGCAATTATGTATATACCCACATGCACACACATATGTGGCCCAGAGAAACAACACAGTCTGGTTCAGATGTATACATACACATGGCGAGAAAAACAAATCTTGCGAATTGACCAGACCTAATCGCATAGGGAACAAAACTGTTACAGAATCTAATAGTCCTGTTAGAAATACTTCTGTATCTCCTCCCAGAGGGGAGTAAGAGAAACGGACTGTGAAGTGGGAGTATGGGGTCTCTAACATCTACACCCCTCATTGATGTGGCAATATCACTAAGTCATAAATCATAAATCATTATGATTCATTATGAAGTATTGTATTTTATCGTTTATGATGAACGTATTTTTATGTTGTTTATGATCACGATTTATCACTATTACTTGTATGTGCACTGAGAGCTTATGCACCGGAGACAAATTCCTTGTGGATCCAACCACACTTGGCCCATAAAGAATTCTAATTCTAATAAATAACTCGAGACATCAAACTGACCTCAACCAACGGAAGAAAATATTTAAATATCAAGAATTACAAATTAGGGAGACAATAATCCAATTGTAATGGGAGCTCTTGGTGCAAATATTCATCAAATATTTAGAAATTGTAAATTTACTAGACTGGACAAGACTAAATTGGCTAAAGACTGCCCTCTTTGTATCAGTATGTATTTTGTGGAGACGCCGCCGTGAAATAAGATCTTTGGCTATGTATTGACTCACTGACATCAACGTCCAATCAATTAGATGGTGGTATTCATTTGGGTCACAACAACAGCTCTCCAATGCCTCAGTGTTAAAACTCTCTGTTGACTTGTGAAGTGTGCAAGACAGAACATTGTGAGGAGGCTCAGCTGCTACAGAAGATCAAGACCTGAAACAGCCGAGCATTAACCTCCAAATCAACGGGATGCTTGTGTCAAGAATGAGCCTGTAAACAGGGGCTGAGATGGGAAATCTCTTTTTCCTCCTCTTATTAATTGTTCACCATTCGGATGTTGGGCCTGGAAAAAAATCAGGTGCCCGAAACCTATTTATTTAATTGCCATCTTTGTTGCTTCAGTGGGAATGGTCGCCTGTGAAGTTCACAGAACCAGGATTGACCCCTGATTGTTATCAGGTGGTAGATTACACTCTTCTCAAAGGCCAAGATGCCTTCAAGATTCGCTTACAAAAACAACATGTAATTTGCAGGCTACATGGAAATGAAAATAAACAATGCTGCCATTCAAAACCCTTCCTTCCTTCCTCCTTCCTTCCCTTCCTCCCTCCCTCCTCCCCTTCCTTCCTTCCTTCCTTCCTCTCTCCCTCCTTCCTTTCTTTCTCTCCTTCCTTCCTTCTTTCCTTCCTTCCCTCCCTCCCTCCCACCTCCCTTCCCTCCCTCCCTCCCTCCCTCCCTCCCTTCCTTCCTTCCTTCCTTCCCCTTTTAATCATTACCCCATCCCATCCCCTCCCCTGTCCTCCCCTTCTCTCTTTCCCCTTCTCCCATTATGCAAAACCTCTGGCTTTTCAAAGGAAACCTTTAATGAATCTATTTGGGTTGCTAAAAATATAGAGATCTAAGAAAAGGGAATGATTTAAAAAAAAAAAGGCCTGAAGGGTTTTATTTCTTCATTCCATGCCCATTTTTATTCATTTAGCACACTAAACATCCTTTCCTGAGAAGGAAAACATGGCAAGTGGAAAGAGCAGGAAAAAAGAATACATGATGATTAATTAAGCACAGTCGGAAAAAGAGCTAGTGGAGAACTCTTCTTAAGTTTGCTAAAGGCTTGTCAAACAGAACTGGCCCAAGGAATTTTTCCAGGACATTTACTATGCTGGGGGTGGGAGAACAGGGTGGGCTGTTGAAATAATAAAATTAACTTGAGTTTTCCTTGCCTGTCCTTTTCGTCTTTCCTGAGCCAGCACTTCTTAATCAAGAATGCAGCTTCTTCCTCTCTCTCTCTCTCTCTCTCTCTCTCTCTCTCTCTCTCTCTCTCTCTCTCTCTCTCTCTCTCTCTCTCTCTCTCTCTCTCTCTCTCTCTCTCCTGGCTCATTAATTTAACTAATCCAGAACTCAGCCAGAAGGAGGTGGCAGAGTTTGGTAGCATTTGGAATAATTAAAAGGGAACGGAATAAGATATTGATGGGATCCGCTTTACTGTTGGACCCGCTCCTGTGTGGGGCTGGAGGGGTTGAGATGCTAACCGGAATTAGTTTGACAGAGGGGAAATGGGTACTATTATGGGTATTATTAAGTGGGCGCCATTAAGTATGATAATATCACAAGATTTGGGGAAGGAGACCTTGAACTAAGGAGGTTTGGCATTCAGATGAGACACTGAGTTGAGGGGTTGAGAAGAGGGGACTCAACCTATTTTCCAAAGCACCCGAAAGCAGGGTGAGAAACAATGGATGGAAACTAATCAAGGAGAGGTTCAGTCTACTCTAGAACTAAGGGGAACTATACTGAAAGTGAGAGCAGTTAACCTGTGGTGCTCCATCACTGGAGGTTTTTAAGAAGAGATTGGAAAACCCTTTGTCTAGAATGGTATAGGGCAGCGGTTCTCAACCTTTGTGTGACGGCGACCCCTGTCACACGGACGCGGCGCGCATGCGCGGCGCCGCCCCCTGAGGGGGAAAAATGGTGGATCGTGTTGTTTGGCGACCCCCATAAAATGGTCGTTCGACCCCAAATGGGGTCGCGACCCATAGGTTGAGAACCGCTGGTATAGGGTCTCCTGCTTGAGCAGGGGGTTGGACTAGAAGATATCCAAGGTCCCTTCCAAATTTATTATTCTGTTAAGATAGAAAGAATAAATAGAAACAAAGACTTTCAGAGGGTTTTTTGAAATTTAGCTGCACGCTAGCACAACTGCCCACCCCATCCCACTACCCAATTCAAACGAGGATACAATCCATGTGTTCACCATGGCATCACCCCAGAGTTTAAAGCATTTGCTAGATACATTAGAGGAAGAGCGAAGGCAGACAGCAAGGCTACACAAGAAACGAAAACAACCTGCTTCCTAAAGTGATCTCTGAGGATATTAAGAATTCACTTCATTTTCTATTCCTCTCTAACCCGGCTGACATAATTATAGAAAAATGCATGTAGTTGTTTGTCTTGTCATCCCTAACAAATGCATCAGATCCCTTGAAGGGGGTAACTCCCCCTCTCCAAAGTCTAGCTTAGGAAGGACATTTTGCTCTCATTATTAGGGCAATGCCGTTTACCCCTGATTGTTTGCACATCCTCAATTTGCACCCTCCCATCTTTGGGCGCAAAGGCCGTTCATCATCTTAGCACAGGTGCATACCAACTGATATTCTGTGTGGAAAATTGACACTTCAGCTTTCATTCCTTTCCAAAATTTCAAAAGAAAGAAAGAAAGAAAGAAAGAATGGATTTTGCTCATTTGAAGGAACTGACCCGCCCAAGTTGTTAAGAAAATGCCTCTTCTCAAAGAAAAATCCCTATAACTGTGCCTAATGTGTGGGGAAATATATTAAAATCAATCTAAAGGTTATTGCAAATGGTTGTGATGATGTAGGCGGCATCACAGAATTATAGAACCCAGCAGTTGAAAGCTACCACAAGGATTGTCTAGTCATTAATGCCTGAACATGTGCAGAATTGATGTGAATTAATCATGCTAATCGATTGAAATGTAATTAGTTGAATGGTAAGACTGGATTTTGTATTACACAAAACAATCAACAGCAATTATAGTTATTGTGAAAATGGAAAATGTTTTTGATGAATATGGCTGCTATTAAAAATAATGTTCAGATGCCGTATTTATATATGCTTAGTGTTTCCAACAACTATTTCCTTCAAGAATTGCACAAAACTAAGGACAGAGGGGAGATCATAGCCTTGGGGGTCTCAGAAGAAATGCAGAAGAATTCTGGGAAGAAAAAAGAAAAATACTGACATGTGAGAATATCAGCCTGAAAGTAAGAAAGAAAGAGAAAAAGAAAGAAAGAAAGAAAAAAGAAACTCTTGTGAGGAAAATGAAAGTTAGAAGCATAAATTGATTGTCAGGATCATTGTTGAGAGATTATATACTTATGTGTTTGATTAAACCTGTTTTAAAAGTCATTTTCTCTTTCCACCCTTCTGTTTTTATTATCATTCATTCTCTTTTATATTAATTATCTTATTGTGGGAGGAATGAATTTGATATATAAGAGAAAAAAACCCCCACAAATGATGTGTAGCCCTGGCTCTTTTTGCATGGAAAAGCAACCTGCACGTGAAATCCATCTCAGAAAATTTGATACGAAAGACTGCCAATGCAATTCCATTTACCTATTTATTTGTGAAGAATTCTATTTCTCAGCCTCTTTTTCAAGACCAGTCTCCTGAAACCCTTTTCTATCTTTGGCATGGATACTTCTAGCAAAATGGTGTTTCTTTGATTCACATTTGAGTGGACCCACTTGAAAGACTGGGTCTAGCCATGCCAAGCCAATGAACTTTCAAGAATAGCAAAGAACATTCTCTAATTCCCACCCAGCTTCAGAAGACGATGCTCTCCTTGGCAAATTGATTGGTGGTAGATCTTATGTTGCTAAGAAACATTCCATTCTGTGTTGTCACACTCAATCTGCCTTAGCACCATATCAATAATTAGTGTAATTACAGCGGGTGCAAGGAATGTAACCCCTGTGGTTATCTATTAGATACCTCACAATCAGAGTACACTTCATTGTTCATTTCTCCATATTATCCCCCAGTTCCAAAAGGATTAAGCAAAATGAATTCTCCAAAAAAATAAACAATTTTACTCTAGATGCCCAATAATTCCCAGTTTTTTAAAATAACAATT